TACATTTGATGTTTGTTTTGTAACTTTGCTAGTATTGGAGTATTTCATAGACTTCCAGTGTATTGTACATACTGTATATATGTCTGCAGTCTTAAAACAGTTGATCAATAAAGTGAATTCAGTTCTTGCTGTAATTCTCGTAATGTGTACAGCAGCTCCGTTCTTGACTGCAGTTGGATATTCATTCTTTTTTCAGCTACAATAAATCAGTGGTGTTTAATCAATATGAGGTTTCCTACATTTAACATTTGGAGCCAATTGTGGTCAGTGGCGTATACAGGCTTTTTTGACTGGGGTGACCCAAATGCAGCACTAACTTAAGCAGGGGGGGCATGAAGTAAATGCTCATACACACACACACACACACACACACACACACACACACACACACACACACACACACACACACACACACACACACAGGTTGGAAAAGCGTTCACAGAGATTCAGTGGCTGTGAAGTGAAGCCAACGAGGAAGTGTCTTAAACCTGCGTTCTATGTAATGGCCAGCAGGGGGAGCTCCATTGGCTGCAATAATGGGACCAATACCATGCAGTCTTATGGAGAATGAGTCGACTTCTCACCTGATTTATTAGCTCCGTAAACAGTTTCCTAATGAGTTTATTGTCTCAATCTCTAGTTTCAGTCTTCTTCCATACAGCCTGATGTTCATTTAGAATAAAGTAGACGCACCACCAGGGTCATAAAGTTATGGCTGATCAGTGTATTTTCACTGTGTATTTTGTAAGTTTTCACCCCTTAAAATCAAGAAGGCATCCCCCTGTGAAGCTTTGGTGACCCCCAGGGTGGGAATCACTGGTTTAGGATGCTGGGGTGGACAATCAGGTTTCAGGCCCCTTACCTGGAAACACCCCTGACTGTGCTGGAAGGCTCATGCAGCAGACGAGGAGGAACCGCAATTAAACAAGCAGAGAGAAATAGGTAAGGGATGACATCTTGCAGAGTGTTTGAGTATCTTGATGAATTAATAATCACAGTTGCAGTGTCTCAGTACCTAACGTGAACATTAGTTGGGTCTTAATTGCCACTCAGTTGCATTATGGAGACACTGTGGGCTGTTATTGAAATGCTGTCTGAGGGCAGCATATGGTTTGAACAGCACAACATCACATGACCTAGAGTTTGGGTTTCAATTGGCTGTTTAACATGAGGGAGATTTTTGCAACTTGTGGCAGCTCAATGAGTTTGAAACACTTGATGAAACAGGAAGTGTCACACGCAGCAGAAATGCTAATGGAGCAGGTTTTCACTGCCTCTGGCGACCACAGCAGTTTGAAAGTAATGACTCTGTGTTCGCTGTCTGTTTCAAACTGCAGACACCGGCTTGTTTACATCTAAACAACCTTGTTATAAAAGGCGAGCCAGCCTAATCTGACCCGGCTGGCTGTTAATCCTCAGTAATGATTGCTCTACATTTAGTCCTGCTGGCTCTCTGGATGTTTCCACAGGCACGTCGACCATGCTCTATATTTCATAAAGGTTCCGGTTCTGGTACAAAATCCTACACACACCACAGTAAAATGCATACACATACCCACTCAGCTGCATGCACACACACACACACACACACACACACACACACACACACACACACACACACACACCACTTACAAACACTCTTACGCAAACAGATTATGTATGTGTATTATGTGACATTGTTTTTCTCTCTATTGATCCAGTTACATGCTCAAATTTATTTTTGTCATATTAATCCTTCAAGGCAGAAAATATTTTGAATTACGTATTATATAAGAAAATGGTGAGGTGACTGCAGGGAGTGTATGTGTGTGTAAGCCTGAAATGTGATTGAAGTTCCCTCTTCAGCAATCAGGAGCACCAGGAATAGGAAATTCTTCTGATAGGCACGATTGAAGCAATCAATAAAAACAATGTGATTTTGTAATGGGTAAATTTGTGATTAAATAAAAGGTGTCAAAGTATCCTTGAGTAAGATACTGAACACCAAATTGCTCCCGATTCTGTGCATCGGTGTGTGAATGTGTATGAATGAGTTAGTTTCTGTTTGATGGGCTTTGCCATCACTGAGTGAATGTGTGTGAAAGGGTGAATGTGCCATGTAGTGTAAAAGCGCTTTGAGTGGTCTGAAGGCTAGAAAGGCGCTATACAAGTACAGGTCCATTTACCATATAGGCTTTAATGTGCTTCATGTGCTCATATGCACAAAAAGTTACAAAAAAGTATTTATTCATTGTTAGAGATCTCAGCCTTGCCAATACAGGTCCAGGCATCAGTTGTTGTTATATGCAAATGAATTAAGCTGTGCAAATAATGCAGATGAGTTCCAGACATCACTAAAAAATAAATAGCACATGGTTGCGGTTGCCAGGTAACAGTGGTGGTCCTCAGGCATGCAGCACAGCAGTGCAGGTAGTGGAGGAATCCCACAGTCTGAGCCGGAGGAGCAACACCTGAACCAGAGAGCACTGCAGAGCTGCTGCTGCAGCACGTTCACTTCTACAACTGACTTAATGCTAACTATACACACTGAACTGTTTAATGTGGAGGCTGAAGAAGCACATCTGGGCAGCAGCTTACCACATAGATAGATAGATAGATAGATAGATAGATAGATAGATAGATAGATAGATAGATAGATAGATAGATAGATAGATAGATAGATAGATAGATACTTTATTTATCCCGAGGGAAATTCAAGTATCCAGTAGCAAACAAAATACAAAACATACATTAAACATACATTAAACTAAAATTAAAAACTCTAACCTTAAGAATAGAATTAAAAATAAAATAGAAGATAAAATATAACATTATATATATATATAATATATATATATATATATATTATATATAAAATTAACAGTAGCTACAATAAACGGTGCAAACAGTAAACAGTGCAACTGGAAGTAAAACAGTGCAAATGGATGTGCAAATACAGGTAGAAATTGTCCATTGTGTCTATTATCTATTGTCCTCCCTGCCTTTACTGGGAGCTGTTGTACAGTCTGTTGGTGGAGTTGGACTGGGACAGCAGTCTGCCACTGAACACACTCCTCTGCCTGGTGAAGGTGTTGTGCAGAGGGTGGTGGGTGTTGTCCAGTATGGACAGCAGTTTGTCCAGGGTCCTTCTCTCTGCCACTGTCACCAGAGAGTCAAGCTCTGTGCCCGCTACTTTACATGTAGTCAAGGCTGTGAACAAATCATATTGTTTAACAGAGTGTGTACAAGCACATATGCGTGGGCGTTAACTTTCCATATGTGCCCAAAATATAGCAGCTAGTGATTCATCTCTTCAGCCCTGATGTTTCAGTGAGGGTTCAGTGTTATCAAGACTTGTCTTTATACTCATTTAACTTCATTTACATGTATTCACACATCATTATAAAGAATTCAGATATTTTGGTACAACGCATTTGAAAACAAAATCATGACTAATAGGGGAACTTAAAATAATGCTCCTTGTGCAATAAATTGTTGGAACAAAATACAGGTGTTTGTTTAGTTAATACAGATGCAGAAAGAAAATCTGACAGGGAAAATCTACTGCTGTAAGCCAATCAAACATCGAGAAAATGCCAATCCATACAGGTCAAACTCCATACACCAGTGTTGAGAGAAGAACTATATCAAAACAAGACCTGTTGGGATGCAATATCTTTTTCTAACACTGGGGGGCGATGTTCATCTGATTATCACACTCTCCCTTAAAGATAATTCTTTATTGCCTTTATTTGATAGTTACAGCTGAAGACAGACAGGAGGGGGGTAAAGAGGGATGATGATGCGCAGCAAAGGGCCGCAGGTCGGATTCGAACCCTGGGTTCAGTGCATGGGTCGCCAGCTCTACCCACTGAGCTAACCGGGCACCCATTGGATTTTGTTTTTAATCATTTTTGGGACTTTTTAATGTAAAGCCCATTTCCGCCAATGTGGTATGGGAATAATGACGTAGTATCTCAAAATAATGAGAAAGTCTCAATATTCTGACTTCGTATTTTGTCATCATTTTGAGATGCTAAGTCAATATTTTGAGAAAGTTTCTCATTCTAATGATTTACAGAATCTTTTCTCCCTCACATTTGCAGAAACAGGCTTCCACATTTCCCCCTTTATTAGACAGATGAACAGGAAAGAGAGATACAGAGAATGACACTGCAGCATGGTGCTACCAGGGCGCCACGGATGTTTTCCTTTTATAAGGCTTTGCACCTCTATGCAACTGATGGTAGCATTTACAATAGGATCTTTTTTTTATTGTTTCTCTCTATAGATTTCCATTCTTATCACCAAAACATATCAACCATTTAAAAAAAATCCAAAGGTTTTCCTGTATTTTGGTGTGCAACCTTCCCATGTGTGCTTATTTTTAGATGTGCATTCTCACCGACTCAGGCACAAACACAGAGTATAAGGCCATGTGATGGAAACTTTCCACCTGAATTTCTCCCCTCTCTAGAACACAATCTACATCTACGTCATCTTCTCGCAAAGGTGGCTGGCGACGTCACATGTGTGGCATTCAAGTGTCATCGGAATATATGGCAAAGCAAGGCTTGTTCACCGACAGACGGACACAGGACTGAGCAGTATTTTAAGGATGCAGACGTCCGCAGTCTGTTTCAGCTCTTATGATTATTGTTAAAATTGAAATGCGACTCTAGCAAAATATAATGAAAAAAAATATAAGAGTCATGGTGGATAGAGATGCTAAAGGAAGCAGCTGCAGGGCTTTTTTGACTGAGGACATCGGGGACAAAATGATCTTTGTCAAAGCACAAACAAAATCCAGTTTTTTTTTCCAGAGTGAAGAAAACAGGAAATCAGGGAAACACCTACAAGAACAGTCATGTCTGAGCTTCAAATGACATCAGCTCCTGTGCTGAATATAAGCTGTGACTGTATCACTGCTTATCCCGCCCCCTTTCTATGACAGCCAGCTCACTGCCCCGCCAATAAGTTAAAAAACGACCGGTTTACCCGTCCTGGTTGGATGACGTTTCCAAAAGAAGGCCACACCTCGTGACAGCCACCAACAACACGTTCATGTGCGCTCCAGATCAGCTATTCTTTAGTATTTCCAACTGCACCTGAAGGCAGCGGGAGGCAGGAGGTGGAGAGAGATAGAGGCTGAATAACAGTGAGAGAGGAGGCGGGGGGGGGAGAGAGAGCGAGACCCAGCTAGCGACAGCAGCACTGTGAGCCTGTCTACCACTAACTGACCGCTGTTTAGCGACATTAACAGTATAAACCAACATTGAATAATTGTGCTTTAGTTAAGATAGGACTCCACCAGCATGTCGTCGAGTGTGAACCGACAGAAATGTGTGCCGGTAGCTAGCTAGGTGAACGTGAAGACAAAAAGGGCATCCTCTGTGTGTTCGAGTCCGCTCGTAATCTCCGGATGAGACTTTCTGTGTAAACGTTCAGTGAAGCAGCGCGGAGGAATCGTCCGCTGTTCGACCGACCCTCCGGTCCCGGTTACAGAAACATACAGGGCAGGGAAAAACCGCCAAAGTGTCGACATGAAATTCACAGAGCATCTCTCCGCTCACATCACCCCGGAGTGGAGGAAACAGTACATCCAGTATGAGGTGAGTTAGCTTCATATTAAACCTGCCGACTAGCTAGCCACTAGTTAGCTAGTTAGCTGACTGGCTAACTGGGCAGCCAGTGGCGATGCGGTGAGGTGTGTGTGTCCGGTTTCATTGCGGTTATTTCTGTTCAGAAACGTTTGGATACGGTCGGGGGATGCTTCCTTGTCTTTCACTCTTCCGTCGTTATACAACAGGAAGAGAGCTTGAGTTGGTACGCCCGTAAATCAAGCGACTGAGCTAGCAAACTGGACAAGCTAGTTTGTTGCTCCGCAGGTTACCAGTCGGTCACATCAGGATGGATGAGCCGCTGTCCGTCCGTCCGTCCGTCCTCTCAGCTGCTTGTAGTGTGTTTAGGAGACAAAAGGCATTCGGCTGACTCATCATTTATTGAGCTAGTTAATCTTTGCTCCTGTTAGCCCAAAATGCTGACCCAGCTCAGCAGTCATGTTGCTGGTGTTTTTAACATCAGGGTGAACGGGGTCACCGGTTGACCGGAGAGAGGTGCTGATAGTTGGCTCAGTCTGCAACCTTTGATCCATTAATGCTATTAAAACCTGCAACTCAGCTCTTATCTTTATTGTGCCTTTCATTTGCACACAGTACAAAACAAAACAATTCAAAGGAAACATTTGCATTTGTGCCAGTATTTTTTATTTGTATATTCCAAGCATACTTGTCAAGGTTGTGTATTGGGATTAAGGGCTGTAAGATATGGCAAAAACATCATATTTTACTATTAGATTAATGTGGGGAGGATCGTTTTTGCATCATAATTATAATTGACATTAAAAAACTATTAAAGTTATGACAATGTGATGTTTTTCCCAGGGTCTGTACCAAACAAACATGTTTTATTACATCTGGAGAACACAATTTGTAGGCCAGTGCAACGCTGCAGAACTACAGTACTTCATTACAATGCTCTTTTTTTCACACATTTTACCTTTATCAAAAAATTCCATATACAAAATTGCTTTGTATATAATAATTTGTGCCAGTATTTCTACCATCTGCATTCCAAGCATACTTGTCAACGTTGTGTATTGGCATTGCAGTACAGTGTATAACAGGAACATACTGCTGATCCTCAGAGAATGGCAATCCTTATATAAGGCGTTTTAAAGCTATATCCAGCCTTTAAGTGCCATCTAAAGATGTAACACAGCTGGTCTGTGTGCTGGGAAATTTCATTACCATGAATCGATTTGTAATTGGGTCCACAGTTATTTGGGTAATGTAAAAGATGCACTCTGTTACAGTCAGTTGGCACAGAGGGCTAATGTTCATAAGGTTACAGCAATGAAACGCGCTTCAGTTCTGCTGCAGGAATGCCCTGACCTACAAATCTTGTTCTCCTGATGTAAATCTCACATCATCATAATTTACTTCTTTTTTTTTTCAGTGAAAATAAAAATGTGTTACGCAAAATTATCATTCCATGAATCATATTCCAATCATAATATCTGTCAAAACAATAGCAATATGATTTTCTTTAACCATATAGTGCAACCCTAATTTCAGTATGAGTTTAACTGAACCTGGGGTTGGGCTTTGTACATTTTATCCAATCTGAATACAGCATCAAATCCTGTTTTAATGAATCTGAATACAGCTTTAAACACATGTTTCTCAGCTTTCAACATTTGTTACTTGAGTAAAATAAACAACTAAACTTTACAGTTGTGAGTTGCAACATAGCGCAAATTATACTTTGTGGTTCTGCGAAAGCTGTTCGATGTAAATGTTGTCTTCTGCTCATGTCCACGAGAGACCACCGCTTGTTTTGTTTGACCAACAGTCCCAAACCAAAAGATATTCGATCTACCATCACTCAAGAGAAAGAAAAGCAGTAAATCTTCACAGCTGAGATAGTGCAACAAGCAAACGTTGGCTGAAAAAAGGACTTAAACAATGAATCAATCATCAAAATAGTTGACTGTTTTTTTCAGCTCAGGACAAATATTTGATAAGACAGTTGTTAGCCTTGGACTAAAGTGAATCCCGCTGCTGTTTTGTTGAACCTAGAACCAGATCCAGAACTAGTAAAGCCCTGTTGTAGCCTGCATCTTGTTGTTGCTTCTAGATATAAAATGCTTAAACATCTGCAATGCAAAAGTGTATTTTTTGCCTCAGTTATGACTGATCGTGCAGGAAAATGCATATCACCATGTCGCATATCTGCCCAGTATCATTTGTTGTCACAGTCCCTGTCAATATGTATGCGTATAAATAAACTATAGGGTTGCATCAAGAGGTGTAATACACTACACTGTTTCGGTGCTGTGGCAGGACTGCAGCTATTATGTTTCTGCTTCCAGGGTTTCTCCCCCTCTCTGTACCTGTGAACAGCACTGTCTGCATTGTTTGGTGACGGTAGTCGCAGTATTGTTATAAGTCATCGCCTGTGCTCTGCATAGTCACACACATTGCTACAGCTCAGTGTGACTGCAGCACATTGTTTCAGTCAGTGCTACCAGGTTCCATACCAAAACCTGGCATGTTACAGCAGTAAGAAGATCTGGAATTTATATTAAGGGACTTGGAAATCCCTATTGATTGTTTCTTATATATTTAGATAATTTATTCATTGGTTCATAAATGCCTGACTGTTTTTCCAGTCAGTATGAAGCAGAGCAGAAGCTAAGCTTTCTGGCTCAAAGTCAGAGGCAATCAGTCATCTCCTCTGCACTCCTGACACATTGTTTTAGTTCTGTGTTCTCTTTGCAGCACGGTCACATTTAGCTTTGAGCCAAAGGTCTTTTCCTGCAGTTAGAAATGCAGTCTGCTGAGCAGCCTTCAGCAGCTCTGTTCAGTGTTCAATCAGCCTGCCACCTTTCTAGAATTCTTCCCAGCTTGGCTCCAGAGAGCCAAACAACAACCAAATCAGCTTCTGTAAAATACCAAAGCAAATAGCCTCCAGTGAATAAGAAAGCCTCTGAAATGCAGACTGACCTGCATAGTTTAGCAGTTGGACATTCTCTCCTGCTCTAGGTCAGTGGCCATCCGCTTCGACCAGTTGTGGTTTTGTCTCCCCAGATCAGCCCATGGTTTCCCCAGAAAGTCTGCCAATTATCTACAAATCTCGCCCAAATGCAGAGTACTTCGAGACGGTAAAACAGGGATGAAAATGCAGCGACAAAGATTGATTTTAATGATAATGTGAAATGTATCCAGGACAGATTCTACTGTACCTTTTTATTTTGCTGTTCTTGTTTTAAGGTATTTTTCTGTTTCACCACATCTGCACTGTTGTTCTTGACTACAAGAACAATGGCACATATAATTTTGAATTATATAATAATTATATATTAAGTTATAAATAGGTCTGCCACAAACAGAATTAGGGATGCACCGTTTTATTGGCTGGACATCGGTATCGGCCACTATTCGCCTTGTTGACTGACACTGGCCTATCAGTAAATAAGATTAAACAAATATGCATTCACCAATGTTAGTGGCTGATGGTTATCTGTGATGTCACACCAATTTTGCGTTCCAACTTGGATATTGGAGAAATAACCTCGTTTTCCAGCACTGATACAAATTGCACGCAAATACTGATCCACGCAGCAGCATGTAAGTCAAACAAACAAGTGTTTCCCTAGGGTTTCTCCAACCCCCGCAAACAAAGACTGGTTTAAAACTCCTACCTACAACGCACAAGCCTTTCGCACTATTTATATTTAATTTCCACTTTAGTAGTTTAGTGGTTTGTTTAGTTTTAGTCAAGTTTAATTTTCTGCTCATATTTTGCACTCCATGTCCTACTTGAACAATGCATAGTGTATATACTTTCATTTATAGTTTTATATCTTCTAATATTAATAATATTAGTGATATTTTTATTGTGATATTCTTTGTTCTCTGTTTTTGCACTACTTTGCCCTTTTGCTGCTGTGTCAACCAGAATTTCTCCTAAGGGGGATAAATAAAGGAATATCTTATCTTATCTTAGACAGGCAGACAGATCTGTCATCATGTCTATCATGACTTGTCCAACAGGTCTGAACCACTTGTGAATTTCCCAGAGAATTTATAAATACCACAGATACTCTTGCAGAGTCATACTTAGCTGCAGTCTTGATGTATTTAACAGAAATATTCTCGATTGATTTTCTGTTGTTGGCCGATATATTACTTACGTGACTAGTTATTTCAGCAGTAGTTGAACTCAGATTACCACCCCTACGCTATGCAACCTAAAAATGTGGTCCTGGCCCGGGAAAACACATTGTGGATCAGTATCATGCAGGTCATACCCAGCCTAATATATCTTTGCAGCAGTGAGAGGGATAAGTGTAATTCTTCTTTTGCACTTTCAGGTTGCTTATTTCCACAGCAGTTTCACATGGACTCTGGATTCTTCCTGCTCTTGCAGCATCTGGACGCAAACCAGATGAAGCTTGTTGTTCCACCCAGCTGTAAATCTGGCTCTGGGCCCAGTTAGTTTTAGTTCTGTGAAGATGTGGGACCCATGCCTGTGAGGTTTGCGGGGCCATGCTGACTAGGACTGGTTCCATGTATGTCATGTTTTCTCGTGGCAGCTGTGTTTGGGTCAGACACTTAGCGGGACGGTGAGATTAACAGGTGTACCGTAAGCTGTTATGATGTGATGTTAGCTGAACCAACGACTGTCAGCCCCTTGCGTTTTCACACTGGCCTGGGCTGTTTCAAGCATGCCATGTTTTATTAGCTTGGAGTATTGACATTCTAACAGTGTGTAACTTTTTTCCCTGGAGTTTTATCTGCAAAAATGTCATGATTCAGTCTGGACAATAGCACAGACTCAGACTTGTTTACTGACTGACACACTGGCTATATTTCCCAATAAACGTCTATGAGGGAAGCAGCTTTATTTGACTTATATCTGACAGATTCCTAGCGTGACTACTGGACAGGAACTATAGGAATATAAATGCCTGTTGGTCAGCTGTATGACTCAACAGACTCATTGACGGGCTAAAATAATCTGCTGGATGAATGCACGTCTGTGGCGA